TACAAGAAGCTTATTCATGTGGGGCTTACAAGCTGGTTGATGCAGATGGTATGGGGATCGGCCCTATCAATGGCAAGTTTTTGAAGAAGTATTATCCTTGAAGTCGCCACGCTCCTTGACGCACGAGCCTAAACTACATGTTGCTACACTCCTAGCCCGCAAGAGTATAAACTGTGTACGACCCAAAAAAAACTCCGCTAGGTTGAAAATCTCGAAAGAGGTGGCCTAGGCATATCTACTCAGTCTGAACTACGGTATGACTTGATCCTCTTCACTGAGGTACGTAGGCAACTTAGAGTTTCATTATTAAGTTTAGTCGTATAAGTTCAAAAGATACATATTGCCCCAATTGTTGTTCGAGTGAAGTATGGAGGAATGCAAAATCAAGCTAAAATGTCATTCTTCTGTTGAACTTTGATCTCATTTGATTTAAAGGTGGCAACCCTCCTTGGTAAATTGATATCTTCAATGGGCCAATTTTAGAAGGATGTCAAATATTTGCATTGAAGTCCAGAGATTCTCTATGTCTTCAGGTTCGCCAAACCTTCAAGTTTGTTGGTCTCCAAGTCCGCCATCTGCCTAAAAAAAAAGGGGAAGAAAAGCGAGGCGTCAAAAGGAAACACAAGTATAAGGAAATGATTGCTTGGCGCAACGTTTCAAATTCAGTGAGATTTGAACCCCAAGATAGTTGTGAGAATATGGCTCTTAAATTTCGATTTATGTCAAGTAAGGCGTCTTCCGATCTCGAGGCTTCCATATCAAGATACAAAATATTTGGTGAAGTCGCGCAAATCTGAAATTGTCGGTGTATCAGAATTTAGTCTTGACTTCGAAATATTATCTGAATGTATCCGTAAGGCATTAAATCTTGAATTTTGGATATGTTATATATTTGGAAGTTAAGTTTCCATTAGATCAAACGGTTCATGATTTCAACGTTCCTACTTCAAGATACAAAACTTTTGGCGAAGTCGCGCAAATCTGAAATTTTCAACGTGGTGGAACCTAAAGTTGATTTCAAAATATTATCTGGGACGATTCTGAAGTTATTTGATTGAGAATTTTGGATATGTTCTAGATTTTGAAGCCTAGTTTTCAAGAAATCAAACGGTTTATAATTTCAACGTTCCTACACCAAGATATGATTTTTTTAGTGAGACTGGGCAAATCTGGAATTGATAGCGAGGTGCAATATAAAGTTGGCTTCAAAATATTATTTGGGACGATTCTGAAATTGTTTGATTTAGAATTTTGGATATGCTCTAGATCTTGAAGTCGAGTTTTCTTGAAATCAAACGGTTTGCAATTTTGATATTTTTACACCGAGATATGAATTTTTTGGTGAGACTGCGCAAATCTGAAATTTTCAACGTGGTGGGATCTAAAGTTGGTCCCAAAATATTATCTGGGGCGATTCTGAAAGTGCTTGATTCTGAATTTTGGATATATTTTAGATATTGAAATCTAATTTTCGAAAAATCAAATAGTTCATTATTTGGACTCTCCCACGACAAGATATGAATCTTTCGTTACAAGTGCGTAAAGTAAAAAATTATGCAACTAAGATAAATGTCGGGTAATGTAAAGCAAACGAGAAACAATCTTATCTAAGATGAAATAATATCCACTAGGTCAACCTAATATAAAAATTAAAAGGGGAGATAATGCTAACAGCCTAATCTAAACAAAATTTGTAGTTGATCAGTTCTTGACAGCTAGTCTCCAAGTTCTTCTTCTCCTCCAAATTGGCCGAATCATCAACAGTCAATAAATTCATGTTGTCATATGAAGAGACCTCAGTCTCGGCAGTTGAAATATTTTTCTGAATCTCTTCAACCTCCTTTTGAGTCACTTCTATAACACCTTCGAGGTTCTCCCTCTCTTGTTGTAATGTATGCAACTTCTTCACGACTCTCTTCAATTTCTTTTCACTAGAGGAAACTTTCTTGACTTTCTCACTTGCTTCAAGTTTGAACGATTCGAGACGCTCTTTAGCTTTGGAAATCAGCTCTAGCTTCTCATCTTCACTCGTCTTATCAGCCATATTGGATCGCTCTTGGTCATATGATGCGGCAAGTTCAAAAAGAGAATTCAGTAAATCTTCTAATGGAGAAAAATCCAGAATATTCATCTTCTTTATATCCTCAAAAATCTCAATGATTTGCTCCCTATAAGATGAGAGCAATTCCAGACAAGTTTTGGAGAGCCTATTGCAAATATCCTCCCAAAGTCCCAAAATGAATTCCTTCTTGCGATTGAAAACAATGCGTTTTCCTTCAAATATAGATACCGCCGTATTTGTCATTGGTAAAATGCGAGTTATCTCATTTGGAGTTTTTCTTTTTAGGGATTCGTCATGAGGAAGAGATGACGCCATTGACGATGACTTCACTTTACACGTAGGCCCTCCAATAGATTCATCACTCACTTGCGGCTTGTCGCATGGGGATACCATCGGCTGCCCAATAGTGTTTACCTGCATAAAGAAAAGGCAAAGAAAGTAAGTAACTTATAGTGAAGCTACTCCTAAAAAAAGGAATGAGCGAGGCGATTGTATTTTACCTCTTTGTTACAAGTTGTATGCGTTTTTGAGGGACTATCAACACTTTGAACCTCTACGATCTCTATTGGGTTAGGTCGTTTCCTTTTCCAATTTTGATCTTCATTGGTACTCTGGTTTATGTCTTGAGAAACACGCGTGTTAAATGGAAGAACTAGAGGGTGTGTCTGTATAGCTGTTGAAGTGCACACCACTTCTTTCAAAGCTGCCTTTGAGGATTTAAGCTTCCTTTTTTTAGGTTGTATAACTACTTTTGGGATTGGAGTTGATATTTTTTTAACTTTTGCAAGCGTCTTTCTAACACCTTGATCTTCACCTCCTAAAGGAGTTGTAGACTTTAGCCCAACATTGTCTACCAAAGCTTGTAAGTTATTCTCGAGAAACTTCCCATGCGCTTTCTCCTACCAAGACATATAATTAGTGGAGAAAGGCTTCTCCATAGGATCTCCCGCTGGGGGAAAAATCGCACGTGACATAGATCGATACAATGTGCAAATCCTCCAAAATCTGATTCCTTAATCTAGAGAGGTGTCGCGGATATCGTTCTCTAAAAAGTTGGGGATGTTCTCGTAAAATCCAAATTGACGACCAAACTGATGCGGGTTATATGGCTCGATGATGAATGAGTTACCATACCTCAAAGGAAGGTAATTAAAACGTAAGCTCATGAAGTAATTTGATTCCAAATCTTGAGGGGCATCGTTATCCACGTAATAATAAGGACGGGAATTGGTTAACATTGTTGGTGCCCAAACTATATCCTCCCCATTGTGGATGCGTTTTCTTCCATCCTTCTCGCCAAAGTACCTTGCAGCCCCTTCTCCTGAGTATGTCACCATCAAAGGGACATACGGACCCTTAGCAAGTGGATAGTGGGTTTTGAAGTAATGTGTAAGCCGGCCATAAACATAATGAATGGGAAAAGAAACTTTGACCTGATCGAGTTGGGAAGAACGCGAAATCTTATTCAAACCATGATAAATACTCGCTAAAACTGGGACTGCAAGGCTAATCTGTCACCCGCATGCCATCATGCTTGCCATCTTAAAAGTCTCAGGACGAATGGAGTTTTCTACCTTGGGGAACACAAAGGCACATAGCCAAATTGATAAGAATGTCGCTACATATGTCTCATCTTTCTTGTCAGACCTCACCCTAAGCTTAGAGAATATAGTTTCTTGATCACTCGACAACCTCGTCGTCTCGGGAATAACTCTGTTAGGATTATGTGTTGACTTTAGGCATGCAGATTTCTTTTCCTTTCTCAACAGGGCAGGCCTATATATTAAAGTTTTTTTATACCAAAAACTTGCCCACTTGATGAAGGAGACCTTTTGGGTAGCACCCGTACCCTCCTTAAGATGATAAAATGCGGCAAATAAATACTCACAAGATCGAGGAATAAATCTGACTTGTTTTTCATTCAAACCGATGAGTTCTCTTGTCTCAGGTACCACTTCTTCATACGGAGAACCCGCAATGGGCAAACCCCCAAGGATATGTAAGTCCCAAAGAGATATAGATAGCTCCCCAGCTGATGTAAGAAGTGTGTTCGTCTTGGGGCACCAAGCCTCACAAAATGCTTGCAAATGTTCGAGTTTCGATCATAAATGAAAAGTGAGGCATAGACAGCATCATAAATCTTTGTTGTACTCAGAGTTTGTTGGCTTCCACCAAGTACGTCTTCAGCCCATTCCCAATATCCTGGGATATGCCGATACTCGCCCTCGATTGTTGTTGTGTTTTCCCAATGTACTTCGCCTTGAATTATGTGACTTCCTAAGTTTGGAAGGGTGCTAGCAATATTTACATGGCGATGGATTGGCGCTTGGAGAGACCACATCTTGGATAATGGATTAGAAATCGATTTGTGTTCCAAGGTCCAGTTCTCTACATGAAAGGAGTTCCTTAGAGGAGGCCATGGGGCTGCATATCGGTCGGCTTGTAAGGTGTGAACCAAAAGCTTGGTTTGTTCTATGCCATCTTCAGTCTCGATGATGAGATATCTAAGTTTTGAGGAAGGTAAGGTATAGTCCCTGAAATTTGTCATCTCTTCGTGCTAAAAAAAAGAAAAAGAAAAGAGGGGTCATCAAAGTCCGAATCAAGAATATTAGAATGGGTACAAAGGTCTAAATGGATGAAATGCTCTCCAAGAATCGGGCCATTTTGAGAGTAATATCTCCAAGAATTGGGCCACATTGAGAGTAATCTCTCCAAGAATCGAGCAATTTTGAGAGTAATCTCTCCAAGAATCGGGTCACATTGAGAGTAATCTCTTCAAGAATCGGGCCATTTTGAGAGTAATCTCTCCAAGAATTGGGTCACATTGAGAGTAATCTCTCCAAGAATCGGGCAAGGATGAATACTCATCCCCTCACACCCCAAGATTATCTTCTTCATGCGTGGATCATCTTATTGAACAAGAACATATCTTTCTTGTTCGACCTACAAAAAAAATGACAAAAGAAGAAAAATAGAACATATCTTATTGTTCGACCTACAAAAAAAATGACAAAAGAAGAAAAATAGAACATATCTTTCTTGTTCGACCTACAAAAAAAATGACAAAAGAAGAAAAATACAAGAAAAGAAGAAGAAATTACCTTAGTGTTAATGCTTCCGAATCCGCAAAACTAGACTCAATATGGCTTGCAAATAATGCGAATTGATGCTAAACAAATACGACGTAGGGGTTTATATAGATAACAAAGGTGGCTGTCAAATAGTGATTTCTCGATGTGGGACTTTGCGACAATTGGTCTTGGAAAAGGACATGGACTGTTGAGGCGGCGACAGTTACTCTAATTAGAGTTGGTGTGGGATGGAATCCTTGCAAAACAATAAGATGTCAATTGGAGTCCTTACCAATTCGTTGTCAACGTGTAAGCCAATCCAAATTTAACCCAAACTCAATTTCCATTTGACAATCCAAATGCAAATTCAATTCAATTTACGTGGCTTCCTTTATCCAAACATATAGGACTAGTGCAAGCTCTAAGTAATTGAAGCTTAGAATCTGTTAGCATACGCTCTCAACTTTAGCAGTGTATTAAGTTACGGATACTTCAAGTCTAGCCTTCGAAATTAAAAAAGTTAATATCTTGACAAATCTTGAAGTAGGGGGCATTTGTAAGTATTAAAATTTTATCGAATTTAAATCGATAAAATAATATGGATTATATTTTAATATTCTAGTCCAAATAAATATTATTGGGCAAATATAATTGAATTAGTTATATAAGTCCAATATATATGGATTAAATAAATAAGTCTTAATCCATTGGGCTAGCCCATTTAATTGGGCTAAAGTGATGAGCCCACTTCATTAAGCCCAAGATGTCATCTTCCTAGAGGCCCAGTTTGGTGTCACGTGTCAAATGACATGGCGCGCCAAGTCAAGCGGAAGAGCCAATAGGACCATGCCACGTGTCAAAATGACAAGGCATGTCCAATCGCGCTAAAAGGCCAATGAAATCGCGCCACGTGTGCAAGTGACATGTTCTGGCCAATCAAATGCAACCATGTCACACTTCAATTTGATTGGTCGGAAAGAGTTTGTTCTTATCACAACTCTTCCCTTCCACAACTATAAATAGGGGTCTTCATAACTCAGAAAAGAGACCAGAAGTTATAACAAGAAGTAAGAAAGAGCTCGTGGATTAAACGCTGCAAATTCCTCCACAAGTTTCAGGCTTCAAGTTCAAAAAAATCAAGTGCAAGTTCAAGAACGAAGAACAAATCAAGGTCAAGTTCAAGTAATAAAGTTCAAGCTCAAGAACAAGATCATCGTTCGAGGCAACAAATACATATTCAAGATCAAACTCAAATGCCCTTGAATTTATACTAGAAAAGTAGAATCAAAGGAATCATAGAGATTGTAACACTCAAATATTCAAAATAAAATACTACGACTGTTGCGATATTTTTTCGATCTTGATTTTATTTTCTCGACCCAAATTTATTGTCTACACATGGATAACACAATAATCAACAAGGAACAAAGAGGGGATAAAATCACGTAAATTAAACTTTACAACAGTTAAATGTATTTGTATTTGAGATGCAGATTTCGTTTTGAATTATGATGAGAAAACTGGTGCTAAATGGATAAAATCACGTAAATTAAACACAATAAATCCAAGCAACAATTGAAAATATAATTTAAATTCTCACACAGGTATTACAATAATTAATAATTTTAATGTTATTCTAATGGTAGTTAACTTAAATAGAATTACAGCAAAACCAAACAGTCGATGACCTTCCAAATGGAGTTTTCCGGAACCAGAAGACACTCTAATTATAGTACCTCAACTTGATGATTGAGACGGTACTAGGTCCTTCAAAAGATTTCCATTCCTGTGCCGCGCGCTATGAGTTCTTTCCAGTAATTTCAGTACTTGCAGATCAATATGAGGTGTAAAACGCCGAATATTATCTTCAAATGATTCCAATTCTTGCCTTACGACACAGAGTTTCACTGTATTGTCCTCATGGACGTTAAGCGGAACTTTCTCTTTATAGCGAGAGGCAGTCATCATTTTGTTTAAGCTTTTCATATTGCCTGCAGAAGAAGAAAGAGTTGATACATCATTACATGGCAAATTGAACCGCTTGTAAACTTAACATTATAAACTGACTCAAATTTCACAATATCAACTTGAGGCCAAAGTCCACTTTTGAACAAAAACAACTGAACGACAAAAAACCAAATTGCATCTTGCGCTATGCTTCAAATGGATGCACTAATTGAAAGCACTGATAGCAGACAGGAGGGAGGAATAGAGGAACATGATTTCCCATTATAAAAGAAAAAACATGCCACATGTATATTAATATCTATTGATACCCAAAACAACTTCNGACCTGAAGAAAAATAATGCAAGAAATGTGGGCTGTAAGAAAAATAAGAAAATATTATAAAAATACATACATATCCCATCCCTCCAACCTAATAGCCACTAAAACGTCGACTCATATGCATATTACATACAATATCTAAAAGGGCACTAGTCTCTACTGGTCCTCTATTAGGGTTACCGAGGTCATTCGTAATTTTCCACCCAGTTCAACCCTGCACATTTAGTGTTTAAACCTCTATTTCCAGCTTCATATCATGTGGAAAAGGAAATGAAGAAGTTTCAGATCAAAAAGAACCAAGCTAGACATAGAAAGAGATACCTGCAAAGATGACAACGCAGCTAAAGTGCAAATCTCCATTTTGCGGCTTCGTATGAACTCCACATTATCATCCACCCAGCAAAGCACAAATGCTTTTCGCCTAAGGACAGCAAGATCACCAGTTGAATGTTTTATGAAACAGCTTTTTCTTTCTCAAAACAAACTATCATATCAAGCAATACAAAGAAAGCCTAGCATATCAATCTCTCCAACAATCACTTAGGTGCGTCATCAAAAGGTGTATCACTTACTGAATGATTCACCAACACATAATCAAACAGATCATAGCACGCTGGTATCCTTAGCTCAAGTACCATACGTTATATATGTTGTGGAATTTAGCAAAGGCACCTAAAGAAATTACAACTCAACAGACAAACAACAATTAAAGCAGTATGAAAGCTGAAGTAGCAAATTCTAATCTTCTAAAGATGGGTACTGAAGATAGATATTACGAACAACTAAGTTGAGAGATTGCCTTAAGACCAATCTCAAAGATAAATTCAACCTTCTCACAGGTCTAATAATCACAAAATTTATATGGACCAACCACATATTCGATGTGACATTACATTCAAAAGTGATCCCTGTGATACTTTAACAATCTTGTGTGGACTGCACATGTTCATCATCAGTGATGAAATTTTTTTATAACATAGCTCTTTTATAATAGCTCTTTTATAACATGTAGTTCACACACCATTGGACACCATATAGACTCCCTCTAAGAGATAGCAAAAGAAACCAGAAAATGGCACTTGAAATGCTTTTTATACGAAAAGATACGTTCACCTAGAAGACAGAAGATACGGCAAATCATTTACCTTGCGAAACTCTCCTTCGGCGGCAACAATGCCCTCCTCGACCTCAGACCTTTAACAATGGACAACACCTTTTCCATCCCAGCTTCTACCCAATCATTATCCCAGCCCTGAAAAAGTGAACAGATGTAGAGAAACAGGGTCAAAAGATAATATAACAATCATGCAGCAGCTAGCAAGCATTATATATTAAGTCCTGTTTTCCACTACTAGACTCATCTTGATAAGCTACCATTTTTAGACCCTCAAAGCAAGTTAACCTATTCCAAATATATATTCTTGAAAAACAAATTGCCTACATAGGTTTATTTATGAGAAATTTAGCAATGTACAAGCATGATGCCTACTATGTACATTGATTTTTCAGAAATTGATCCCATACAGCTCTGAGTAACCATAAGACTCTAACATCACACCAAAATCAATGCCGAAAAGATAAGAGGAAAAAGCTAAACTTCAACCTCAGTCAAATAAAAAGAGGAAGCATACATCGAATTTACTTGACAGCCACCAACAGAGGTAACATATCTATTTGCTAGTTTTGGAACTTAACATTTGTGCTTAAAGCATACCTCTATAGTTGAAGGATAATCACTTATCACAATAGATTCTTTCTTTATGGAATTTCCGCTAGCAGGAAGATGCTGCCATAATTCTTCGGAGACAAATGGCATAAACGGATGGAGTAATCTCAACCCGTTATCTAAACAAAGCCACAGGGTGTCTTGAGCAAATCTTCTTGCAGATACAGATTCTGGATTATCACCAACAAAGTATGGCTTGATTACTTCTATAAACACATCACACAACTGGAACTGCCAGAACGAATACATTGTTGTTGCTGCATCGGAGAAATCATAAGATTCCAGGGATAAGATAGTTTTTGCTATGGCCTTGTTAAGAGCTGAGAGTATCCACTGGCAGATAAAAGGCATTTCACGAGGAGCTATATTTGTTGGAGGGGTGTAATATTCACCCAGTTTACTCCAGGCAAACCTAACAACATTCCATAATTTATTACACCATTGACGATACCCAACAACTCTCTGGATATCCAGATTGATTTTATCGGACTGGAAGGACAAATTAAGAAAGTTAGTAATATCCAAAGAAAGTAAAAAGGAACATCTTATTAAATTTTAAGAAATGTTACAAATCTGAGCAGTATATGAGAGTAGGGCAAATCG